GAGATCCACAGGCAGACACAGGGGATATTTATCAGGCACACACACACACACACAGACACACACACACACACACTTCCAGACACACTCAGTGCTAAACACACCCCTGCCTCTACATTCCGGGCCCTAATTATTATAACATGATAATTAGCGAATAATAATAACATGGAAAAAACTTCAACAAACTAAACAACTGGCTTTTTTCCCCCTTTTTTCTCCCTACAATTATAATAGTTCCTCTGCCATGTCCTTGAATGAACGTATTCTTCAGCTGTCTCCAAGTAGCTCTGTGCCTGAGGTTCTAGAACTTTCAGAGTGTGGGTGGTGCTACGGCTCTTATAGTCAAACTCACGTTGTGCAAAAAAACTAAACTCATGTCGTTGAAGAATGCATCAGGTGTCCTCGGCTTCCTGAAGGAGACAAACCTTAGTAATAGGCCCGTCGAGATAGTTTGTCCTGGTCTTGATTTTGTCTTGCCTGGTCGAACTATTCTTTTTTTATCTTGAACAACATGGAAGACCTTCTCCATGATCCAACAGTTACAGGGTACAATCAGCAAAATGTCTCCAAATGTCAACATATCTGAATTCTGAACGGGATTGTTTAGTTCTCCCCTTCAGTTTGAAATGGTTTCTTCCGGAACCTTCTAAAAGGTGCTCCGGCCCCCTGGAGACGCTTTTAGCCTGAACATCTCGCAGAAGAAGAGCCAGAAATAAGTCGTCTGCACGTTAATGACACGGGGAACATCTATTCAAACGCTTTTGAAGGATTCATTGTTTTCCTCTATTTTATTTAGTTTATGGAGAAGAAGCTGCCTAAAAAGACCACAAACTCAATACAATACTTCAACCTGGTTCTGTGTAATTTGAACTATAAAAAAATAAACGTTACCTTCATTACAAGTGACCTTCAATGAAAAAAACAACGACCAGAGGGGCTTGTCAGAAGTCTATATTTTGATATTCATGCTTGACTTTTTACACGATCTATTTAGTTTTTTAATTTTGCCATCAATAATTCTTTACTTTTCCTCTTCACTATCATCACCACGTAGTCAGAATGAGTGGGTTTACAGAACAATTTTCATGGTGGGGATTTTGGCTGTTAACATTATGAAAGATTACACATTTTTGAATATATTGGTTCCAAATCCTGTCATGTGATGGTGACATTTTAACCAAAACAAAACCGTACCCATCCTTTTTTAGTCCGGCAGTGTTGTGGTCGGGGCCCAAAGAGGCTGCTCATGGGACACCGGGCTGTTAAAGCGTTGCTCCCCAGTTATCGAAACTTCAAGTTGGTTCATTCCGTCAAGCAAGACCTGACAAAATTCACACAGATATTTTGCAAAAGTTACTTTTTTTCATTGATCCGGGCTTCTGGATCTCCCTGTGAACAAAACACACGCGTGTTTGGGGCATCTTGGCCGACTTCATTCTTGCCGGCTGTTGCTTTGTGGATGGATTTTTCTTCTTTTTTCTTCAGCTTTCATCACCATGCGCTGTAATGTCACATTGACCAGCAGCTCCACTTTACTGTCTGTCCACACAAATCACATTTGCCTTTGGTCTTGCCTTTTGGAACCACTCTTTCTGTTCTCAGGTGAGTTTTTTTTTTCCGGCTCACTGGGCAGACTCCGACTGTCCTTCTCTTGGGTTTTTCCGGGTTGTGAAGATGTCATCGCGCTCCGCTGGAATCGGAACACTTCTTTTATCCGTTTGTGGAAATGTTCTGGCTCTCGTCTTTCCAGATTTTTCCTTAAAACAGTGTCAGGAGTGGAGCTGTCAAGGCCGATCTCAGGTCTGTGGACCTGCTGATCTGTCATTTTACCTTTCTTATTTACGAGGTAAACAGCTTTAAGGTGTGTTACCACAAAAAAAAAACATGTCTCGAGACTCAAGACAATTTCCTGTGCTGTACATTCATGAAAGTAAGTTCCTTGCTACCTTTTTAAAGCTTATTTACTGCCCGTTCAGCTGGTAGTTACTTTTTTCTAAGCGCCGAGCCAAAACATGAGAAAGCATCCCTCACCGCTCCAATGTTTAGCTGCTCAAACTAGTAGTTTTAGGTCCTCTGAGTGGAGCAGGTCTTGTGGTTGGACTCGCAGAAGAAATGGGATTAAGAAACTGTTCGCTTCATGGTGTGTTGCCACCGTTTCTGACCCCTGACTCTGACCCCACATCTTCTCATCTATCTGCTCAGACCCTGGTGGACCCGTTTGGATCCTGGTTTTAGATTCTTCGGAGCAGATCTTTGCCTCAGAACTTCCCGTCTTCTGTCCTCTAACCGCTGTAAATACTTCCCCTGAATCCGGTATCTCATCCCGAATCCTCAAATAACCCGTTACCTGGAGGCATGTCAGTCAGGGGCTGTGCTCATCTTGTGGGGCGCTTTGATCCCCTCCCAGGAAGCGGGCCCATTATGTCCTGTGTGAGCCCATTTCTAGCCCCGAGATGTATCCATCCTCACTGGCTTTGACAGAAGTTTATTAATTCCATCTCTGCGTGAAGTGTTTCATTTCATGACAGCGGCAGACTTCATGTCCTGCGGACGTGAACGGATACTTTATTTTTGGGTAACACACATTTTGTTCTTACTGAACCCTCGCCAACAAAATCATCTGCTGGAATTTGCTGGCACCTGTAGATATAACAATGTTTTTCTTTTTTTTTGTTTGCCGTACGATAGGTGTCCACACACGAGATCACCCACACACAGAGTGGAGGGCGGTTGAGATAAGCTGAGACAGTCGATGGTGGGCGCACAATACGTGCAGTTGTTTGTCATTAGCAGGGAAACAGGACTAATAGAATCCCTCTTACGGGATCTGAGACCTGCTGCTCGGCAAGCTCGTCAACTTCCAGATAAACAGGGCTTTGTTTATTTGCTCATCACGCACACACCAACACACACTAACACACACGTAGGCTGAAAACCCCCCACGTCTGCATCAACAACAAACACTCCCCCACACACACACACACACACACAGAGCTGGACGCAGCACGGGTCCACAGTTATTGCGCTGGAAGGCGCTCTAATAGCCGCCTGTCCTCAGCTGAACTGTGGAGAAAACCATTCAAAGTAGTTTACACAAACCCTAACAACAACTTCATTCATTAAACGCCGCGCCAACACTCCTGCCCGCCGTCTAGCACGTCTCCTGCCTCTCTTTTCTCTTTTTTTCCCCCCTTCACTCGTACTGTCCTCATCTCACCCCTGTTGGCACACAGGTCCGATTCGTAAAGGAGTGTGTTCAGAGCCAGAGTCATGATTGCTATTTTAAGTCTTGATGTGAAGCCAAACTCATAAATTCATAAATGGGTTCTTGAGTGATGGGTGATAAACTGTTACAGTGATGCCGTTAAGCTGTTTTCCCGTCATTACTGGGTCCTTTAAATCCTACAGATCCTGCAGTTCTGTGGTGATGTGTGCATTATGGGGGCTTTTCTTCTAAACGTCACTCATTTCAGACAAAGTCAAACACACTTTTAAAAAAATGCAAAGGTCTACAGCAATGAGACTTTTAACGCATAGCTTTCATGTTTAAAAAATCTGCAGTGTGCCACAACATAGAACTGGATGTTCATCACAGCCTCAGTGAAGAACTCAATGCAAAAACACAAGATTTAATCATGTTATTTCAGAAAGAAAATGTCTTTTATTTACTACTTTTGACCATAAAATAACCATTTTTATTTTCTTAATTAATTGTAAACGTGATTTTTTTCCCCTCTCTATTATTGCTGAAAACTTATAGCTGATATTACCAAAGATTAATTAACTAAAAAGAAAGCCAATTTTCTAATTTCCTTACTCCAAAAGAACATTGTGTTCAAAAGGGTTTAAATTCTCAGAAAGCATTTAATTTCTTTATTAAGTGTTTAATCTGAGTTTTACTGCTGGAAAAACAAATGTGTTGAAATTATAAGGATAAAAGATTCGATTATTGGAAAGTGCTAAATGATAGTAAGAAGTCCAACAGGTACCCGTGAACGCATCTCTGTTGATCCAGTGTTCAGTTATTAGGCATCAAACCCAGTTTATTCACACCCTTGGACTGTGTGTACGCTGAGCATGTGTTTCTAATTTTTTGCAATCATTAAATATTCTCAAAGCAACCGATTCCCTTCTGAAACTCTTCTCTCCGCGCGTCCTGGCGCGCGCGGCGCGTCCTGGCGCCGCTGCAGACCGCAAAGGGTTAAACGGGGTTACCAGCAACGCTTTTAACAGGCAGGTGCCCCCCCCCCCCCAGCCCCCGCGCAGAGCCCCGCACCCGCGCATTAAAACGCGTCCTCCAACTTCTGAGCAGCAGCTCCTAATTGTCATCACGCGTTGCGGCGCCGGCCGGAGATGGCTGCGCACCGGCGGTATAAATAGAGCATCCTCCCCGCAGCCGCTCACGCTCACGCTCACGCTCGCGCACAGCAGGCTGGCTCACCGGTGATGCGCCTCTGACTGTGCTGCTCTCACTCACTCTTGCTCCCGACCGAGGCTCCCTCCGGCTGCTGGGGGATCAGGGGCGCAGCGGGTCCGATTCCACCTCCGGCTCTCTCTCCGACATGCGGCGGATGCGCTCCCCGGGATTCTGGACCGGGATCCTGGCGTGCGCGTCGGTGTGGATGGAGCTGTGCGTCGCCGTTCTGAGCGATGGCCCCTACTCGCACGCGGGCATCTGCCCCAATGACATGAACCCCAACCTGTGGGTTGATGCCATGAGCACGTGCACGAGAGAGTGTGAATCAGACCAGGTACAGTAAAGGGAGCCGGTTCTGCATGCTGGACTAACCTTTGTGTGTGGGTCCACTTGGCCTGAGTTCTGGTTCTGTTCTGGTTCTGTTCTGGTCTCCTGTCTCTGACGTTTTTCTCTCCTCTGTCCTGCAGGAGTGTGAGACCTTTGAGAAGTGTTGCCAGAACGTGTGCGGGAGCCGCAGCTGTGTGGCCGCCCGCTTCCTGGACGGGGTCAGGGGCCCGGGGGGCCCGCCGCCGGGGGCCAGCTGCGCCGGCTTCCCGTGCGTCCAGCAGGGCTCGGAGTGCGAGGTGTGGGAGGGGGCCCCGGTGTGTAAGTGCCGGGACCGCTGCGAGCGGGAGCCGCGCTTCACCTGCGCCTCGGACGGCCTGACCTACTACAACCGCTGCTACATGGACGCCGAGGCCTGCTCCAAGGGAACCACGCTGACCGTGGTCACCTGCCGCTTCCACCTCACCTGGCCCCACACCAGCCCCCCGCTGGCCCCGGTCACCACCCTCCGCCCCACCACCGCTCCCCTGAGGGCCACCGCCCCGCCCCCCACCCAGCCCCAGCCTCCAGCGGTCATCCGGCCCCCCGTCCGGCAGGCGGTGGCGGTGGGGGGCACGGCCAGCTTCCCCTGCCAGGTCAGCGGCCGGCCCCCGCCGCAGGTCACCTGGGAGAAGCGGGCTCCGGACGGGGCCGGGGGGCCGCCCATGAGGCCCAACCACGTGCTGGGCAACATGGTGGTCACCAACATTGGTCAGCTGGTCATCTACAACGCGCGGCTGCAGGACTCGGGCGTGTACACGTGCACGGCCCGGAACCCGTCCGGCTGGGTGCAGAGCCACCACCCGCTCACCGTGCTGCCCCCCCCGCTGCCGGCCCCCGGGGCCGCCAACCGGAGCCGCTGCGGCCCGGAGGCGTGCGCCCGCCCCCCCGACGGCCCCCCCGACGGGCCCCGGGCCTGCGGGGGCCGGCCGGAGACGGTCAGCTGGTACTACGAGCCCAAGGCCAACAGCTGCTTCCCCCTCGGGCGTTGCCCCGGCGACGGGCCGGCCGGGGGGCTGCTGGACACCTACGACCGGTGCATGCGCTGCTGCGGGCCGGAGCTGACCGGTCCAGAGCTGACCGGGCAAGAGCCGACCACTCCAGAACTGACCGGGCCGGACCTGGCCGGACCCTGCAGCCTCCCCAGCTCCCAGGGCCCCTGCAAGGCCTACGAGCCCCGCTGGGCCTACAGCAGCCTGCTGGGGGGGTGCCGGTCCTTCGTCTACGGGGGCTGCGACGGAAACCAGAACAACTTTGAGTCCAAAGAAGCCTGCGAGGAGGCCTGCCCCCTCCCCAGGAGCCCCCACTGCCGGGCCTGCCGGCCCCGGGGCCGCATGGTGACCAGCTTCTGCCGCAGCGACTTCGTCATCGTGGGCCGCATGGCGGGGCTGACCCAGGACGGGGACTCGGGCCACGCCCTGGTCACCGTGGAGGAGATCCTCAGAGACGAGAAGATGGGCCTCCGCTTCTTCGGGAAGGAGCCCCTGGAGGTCACCTTCGTCCACATGGACTGGAACTGCCCCTGCCCCAACATCACGGCGGCGGCGGCCGAAGGCCAGGTCATCGTCATGGGCAACGTCAGCGAGGGCATGGCCGTCCTTCACCCCGAGAGCTACGTGGGCGCCTCCAGTCCCCGCCGGGTCAGGAAACTGAAGGAGGTCATCTCCAAGAACACCTGTGACATTCTGAAGGCCATCACCAGCGGCCCCCAGTAGGCCTCCACCTCCTGTCCCTGACCAGACTCCCTCTGGCTGAGGGCTTTTCATAAGAAACTTGCTGATTTGACTTTTTTTTGTTCATGGTTTTGGTTTTGGCTGAGGCTTGACCACTGGTGTTGCTCATTGAAATTGCATGCGTCCAGACACAGACATCCATTATCGTCCGTGTGTTACCTTTAGCTCCTGTGGCTCTCAGAGTCTGCAGACTTTGGCGAGGGAGCTCAAAACAGTCTTTTTGTCTTCTGTTCATGTGTATGTATATATTTTAATTGCCTTTTCTCTTAATCAGCCTCACTAATTTAAGCTTTAAACATTCCCTGTGTGCTGGTCAGCAGCATGCAGTCTATCATAGGGCACGACATACCATTGAGGCCTCCAAGTGAACGAGTTGTAAAATATTTTCTGAATAAATTTTCTACCTGTTTAAAAAAAAAATTTCTCTGGTTTCTTGGCTATTTATTAACATGTGGGCTTTTTGTAGGGCTCCTCTGAAACGGGGAGACATTTTGTAAAATGTTTCTTAAGTGTGAGAAGGAAATAAACGTGGAATTTTCCCTCCATCTCCCTGTCTTTTTTCTCCGTCTGTGTAATACTGATTAATTTGGTATTGCAGGATAGTCAGAAATTATTCGATAGAAGTCAGAATGCACACTTTTTAACTGAGTAACTCTTTCAGCGTGCTGTCTTTTTACCTAAGCGAGAGGCTCCTCTGACAGGCCGTGATGAAAGAGACTTGGGAATTGTACGTTCCCAGCCTGCCCTGCACCCCACGCAATCCATGAAAACTTCAAAATAGATCCATCCCTGCTAAAGACCCCTGTGGCGTTGTAAAAACTTCACCCTATTTTGCTTTGCCTCCACGGGCCAGCCTAATTGGGTAAGGAGCCCAAGCTGTAAACCTCAGATCCACTCCCATACAAGAGTTATGTGTTTCATGCCGTGCCAACAGGCATCTCTGGGTTACTGGGAACAGACCTTGGTGGGCTACAACCAGGGTGTTCTTCTTCCCAGACGAGATTCTGTTTCTCCCATCCGTTGCGGCGCTGGGAGCCGGACAGCGGCCCGTGCACACACCAGGGGCTCCGAGCTGCACTTCAGCAGCTGTTGGGCTTTTGGAGCAGAGAAGTATTAGATCTGCAGCACCTTGGATCAAACCACAGAGTCATATGAGGCACGTCAACAACACAAACTTCTGCTGCATCAGTTTAGTTTGTTCCCGGAGAAACGAGGCTCTATCTCAACACGTGCAGGGAGGGATAAACCTCCTCGCCTATGTAACTAAATACACCTTATTTCACCCCATGTTTGCGACTAAGCACATTTTCTTTTTGATAAAGCTCCAGTTGTTTGTTGAAAAATGACTTTTTAAGTCAAGTCAAGTCAAATTTTATTTATAGAGCACATTTAAAATAACCAAAGTTTACAAAGTGCTGTACAGGTAAAATTAAACATAAAAAGTTAACAGAATTTACATACATATATGTCACTTTAATGTAAAATAAAGAGGTAAAAAGGTAAGAAGGTGCTCTACCTCAGCCTAAGGTTAAAATGTTAATGTTTTAGTACTAATTGGAGAAACAAATAACTGGCTTGACATTGTTAGCTGAAAGAGATTTTTTTATATAACATAAAATACCTAAAATCTTGCGCTTTTCAGAGATAATGTCCTCTCAACTGAATATTGCTGCCTGATTTTGTTTTTAACATTAACTTTTGCTGTATGGTGGGTGCTGTTGTACTTATATAGCCAGGTGTGTCTATTTGGTAGTTTTAAATCTGAGCTCTTTAATGTAATGCCAGTTCACACCAATAGAAGAGTTGACAGTGGAATTTCCTTTAGGTGTTTCCTTCCATATTTATTTTTTTGCTGCTTATTTCTAACACATAAATGTAGGAATCTGTTGCAAATGGCCTTGTAGTCCACATCCAAACCTCAGCAGAGTAGACAGATGTAACACAACACTGAGCAGCCTTTTTGGAAGCTACTAGCCTGCTCAATTATGATTGACATAAATTATGAGATATATTTCTTTTAAAAAGTATCAGTGTTGTGAGAGAGTTTAAAATTTTGTAAAAATGTTTGAAACAACATGGATGACAAGTGGCTGTCTGCAGTTTTACGTTCAGACATCATGTCTGAATCAAACTGAGCATCTGAGTCGAACTTCTTTATGACCTTTCTTTATATTTTTGGTTGCAAACAGATTCCAAACCTGCTTTGAAAAGGCATAAAGATGCCCAGTTAGTCAGATCAATGTGGCTGGTTTCCATCTTTTTTTGCTTTGTCCTGAGATATCAGTTGTGTGTGTGTGTGTGTCTTAATTAGTTTCCTTTTCTTGGGAAATTCTCCCTGAACAGGCCTGACAGCGGGGCTAATCTGTTGATTAATTGATTCAGACTGTTACACTAAATCAAACCGATGACATTGTTGTTTCATTGAAAATTCAATTAAATTAATATCTGTGGATCAACCCCCAAAGGATCCTTTATCTTACTGTCAAACATCTGCCACATTTTGATTCTAAAAAAAGCAACAATGCGCAGAACAGTTTCTGTTTATCAAAAGGCCTAAAAAACTCACCTTGAATTCACTCTAACTCTTAGAAGAGCCCACACAGAGCGATGGAACTGGCCGATTCTCTGTCTGTGAACACACTCTAGTGGGTTTGTGGGGTAACTGCACACTGACCTGAGCACAAAGCATCCTGGGAACGCGAAGTCCTCCTCAGTAACACTCCTTTAACCCTTGGGCCTCTAACATGGTCAGCCATGTCTGTGATCTCCTCTCTTTTAACTGTTTGGACCATACAGAGCATCAGATTTCCAGGTTTTACTCCACTTAGTGACTTATCTTCACTAAACCTGGCCCCCATCACTCATACATTTTGATCCCCCTCAAAGGCCCCACATGAAACCTCAGCAGAGATGTCCCACTAGATTCTTTTTGTGATCTAGGCCACACGAATAACCATGGAAACAGGGAAGTAGTTTACATCCTGAAACAGCTAACTGGGCTTACTAAGAGCCAAAGGAAGGCTCAGAATAAGACTCAGATGAAGAGGAGAGACGACTATAAGATGAAGAGATGAGTCAAACAGAGAGAAAAGAGGATATTCAACCAGTTTCTCCTGTTGAAGCTTCCTGAGCTTTAAGAGGACTCAGGAGGCCACATTTGCTTCACCTCTCTACTCACCCTTCAGGCCCAAATATGCAGATTATCTATGGATCCATTTATTGGCCAAAATCTACTCTTTCAGAAGTATTCTTGAATATAGCTGAAAACAAAAACAGGCAACGAAAAGAGCTTAAAAAGACAAGAAATTCAAGTATTCATGTGATTTTTTTTTAAATGTATAGAATTTTCAGACTTACCTGCTAGAATGTAGGCCCAGCTGTATTTCTCATCCAGGTTAATGTGTAACTCTAAATAGTGTGACAATAAATGCAACACGAGGAAATGTGTCAACACAATCCCTTGGTTATTATCCAGTGACTGTTTTTGAACACTCTCCCGGAGCCTCTAAACATGGTGCGGTTCCAGTCATCCTCATGCAGATGTCGGCAAGTTCATCACACACATAGATTCGATTCGGTTCATTTTTAATAAAGGCATCTTTTTTATTTATTTTTTTGTATTTTGGTGATACAGAATTCAAGTTTTCATAGATTTGGTTCACAAAAGAATCACATATTTAACTGATAAAACTTCCCTAGACAAGACATTTCTTTAAAAAGTAGCATAAATAACAGCACAGTATAAAAATAAGTGGGTTTATCACAAAGGTGTAGGTTATTTTCTTATGAGGAAGGTACAGTGGCACAATATTCTTTGTAGAAAATATAAAGAGGTTCCTCCATTTGAATAGTTTTGCAGCAGACAGCCGATTAGACAACGATACATTCACTGGCTTTCTTTATCCCACTGACAGAAGGCACTACACAGCAGACGGAGATCAGTTAGCATTCGTGTGTATATGGCTTTTTCTTTCTTTTTTTACCCCATTTCGACACCAGAGAAGCAGGCGGAGACGGGACCACACGGACCGATGTGGCTTCTGACAAACTGTTTGCTAGTGCTGGTTGTTCCATGTCTGCCAAAGAGGTCAGGCTTCATTCAAAATGAGCACCGCGCGCCCTGGAAAAAAACAAACAAAGAACCCAACTCCAAAAACAAAGGAAAACAAGTGCACGTGATAAATAAACCTCAGCTCGGCTGCCAGGTGGAAAACAGAGTCAGACTGAGGTAAACGGAGCTGACCCCCCACCGGTCGGAGGGGGGAGAAGGCTCTACTGCGCCAGGCCCGCGTCTTTAGCCATGCTGTAGAAGATTCCCCTCTTTGAGATGAGGTTTGTGGGGGTGTCGAACTCTGCTATCTGTCCCTTGTCCAACACCACCACTCTGTGAAGGGAGAGTGAACACTTTAAAACACACAAACACATCCAAGCACGTTCTGTACACAGGACATCTTTTCTGCTTCCCAGCAGGTCCCCTGTACTTCTGATGCCAGAACCACCGGTAGAATTCAGCGTTGCCAAATCAGGATGCAAAGAGCTCCTTATTTTTTATCTTTAAATATACTCGTGCACACCGGGGAAACCTTAATTCTAGAAAAGTTGAAGAATTTCCATAAAATGTCAATTTCTTTAACCTGATTTGCTGGTTAACTTGAAACATTAGTCTAAAGAAATGTTTTTTGTGTCTCTTCAATGACTAATTCAGTATATAATTCAAACCAACAGGGTTCCACAGCCGGCCGCTCTGTGGTTTACTGGTCAGCCACTAAAAAGGCGCGCAGACATAAAGGTCTTCTGGAAACAACTCATTACTCCCTAACACAGGAGGCACCATCACATTAGGCCAGTAGGATATGTGCATTCCCTAAATGTGGGACTTTTCAGGGCAGGAGCTGTGTGTAAGGGGGGGGGGGGGGGTTTTGTCCCTCAGGCTTCCGTCATGAAAAGCATCAGCAGCTTTTCTAACAGCCTGTAGAGCGCATTAGTGCCAGCTCTTCTCAGGAATCCAGCTTTTCTGCGGTGGGTAAAGATCAATGGTGGTAAGAAGAGATAGGGAGACAAAAAAGGCGGGGGGGGGGGTCTGTGGCTGAGCCCCAGAGGACACTGATCCTTTCTCCACCACAGCCTGATAAAGCAGGGGAGCAGAGTTTTCTCTGCTCCCCGACTCTGGAACTCTTTGAGATCTGACATCCAAAATACTGACTCTCTCCCTCTTTAAAAAAAACAAAAAAAACTCAAAACCAAAAAAAAATATCTTACTCACACCACCACCCCTAATTCTAACATTCCCCTCATTCTGCACACTTTTATTCATTTGCACTTTTATTTATTCATTCATGATGTTTTGAATGTGTTTATTGTATGTTTCTTATGTTGTTTTCATGATGACGGTCTCTGTAAAGTCTCCGTGAGTGGCATGAAAGGCGCTTTTTAAAAATAAAGTGTATTATTATTATTATTATTATTATTATTATATTATTATTATTGTTATTAAGTGAAAGTCAGAAAAGATGAGTGAAATGCTTTGGAGGGACAGAAAGAGGCGACATTATCATTTTAAGGCTGAATTCCCCTTTGAGCCCCGTGATGAACACACCTTGTGTAGTCCATGATGGTGTTGAGCCTGTGTGCGATGGTGAAGACGGTGGAGTCCTCAAACTGAGTCCTTATGGTGGACTGGATGAGGTCGTCCGTCTCCAGGTCAATAGCAGCAGTAGCTTCATCTAGGACCAGAATCCTGGTCTTCCTCAGCAGAGCTCGGGCCAAGCACACCAGCTGCCTCTGGCCCACACTGGAACAGAGGAACCCTCAAAACGCGGCCCAGGGAGGACTCTCCCACTCCAGCCCGCTTCCCCCCACAAACCTGAGATTCTCTCCTCCCTCTGAGCACTCCAGCTCCAGTTTTGCCGGCTGGTTGCTGACAAACTTGAGCAGGTGGGAGTGTTCCAGGGCTTTCCACACCTCTTCGTCTTCGTACTTGTCGAAGGGGTCCAGGTTCATCCTCAGCGTCCCAGAGAACAGCACCGGCTCCTGCGGCAGGGACAGACCTTTAGAGACCTGTTTGGTTTTTAGCCTTTGTTTGGGCTAGCTGTGGACTAAGATAGGCATATCTGAGCAAATGATCACAGCAAAACACTTCTGAAGTGAGAAGCTACACTACTGTATGAATAGTCACCATGGCGCGCCTTTTCAGTGCACTTGTACATTTCACATTTCAAACCTTTCATTTCAGCTTATTTTGTGCTATTTGTTGAGCACAATTGCCCATGTGTGACTTTAGTAAAGTGTATCTTTATTCTTACATATTTCATTTACACATTGAACCTGAAAATCAGGGAAAAATAATCTGAGAGGGAAAAAGCAAAAGCATGTTCAAAACTAAGAATAAAGTCAATAAAAATCGTACAATTTAAATACAAATGAGTCAAACGATAAAGTGATTCAGAATAACAAAGTTCCAGATATCAAAATACAAACTGAGTCTCAAAGAATTACAGGAGAAGCAGAAGATACAAAGTGAAATTAGCTCTTTTTCCTTCTGTGGTCTCATGAGAATTCCTGAGCTCTGCGTTTTCCCTCTGGGTTCTGTTGGTACCTGTGGAATGATGGTGAGTTTGGACCTCAGGTCGTGCAGACCGATCTCTGATATCTTCACGTTGTCGATGGTGATCTCTCCCCCCGCGGCCTCCAGCAGCCTGAAGAGGCACAGCGTCATGGACGACTTCCCGGCCCCGGTGCGACCCACGATGCCGATCTGCACACAACCAGGCAGAGCTGCGGTGAGCCCCCCCGCCCGGCTCAACCTCTGTCCCCTACAGGAGCGTGCTGCCCCCCACCTTCTCTCCTCCCTTCACGTTCAGCGTGATGCCCTTCAGGACCAGGTCCAGGCCCTCTCGGTACCGGACGCTGTAGTCGGTGAACTCCACGTTTCCCTCCATGGGCCACTCAGCCGGGGGCTTCTTGTCCTCCACCTCCCAGGGGGCCTGTGAGCAGAAACACAAACAGACCAGTTTTTCATTTAAAGAGCTCCATGAGATTGACTGAGTGCGTGCGGTGCCAGACACTGACTTCATAAACTTATTCCAGAGCAGTGTAAGGAGAACTTATTTTGGATTAATGTAGAAAAATAATGTTGGGAAACTTTCTGACAGAACACCTGAACGCGAGGCCTGGAACTCTGATCTTAATTAAAAAATCACAGTTTAGCTTCATATGCAAAATTTTGTCCAAACAATTTTTATACTGTATGTAATTAACTTTTTGTACCAAAAACTTGAGCATGGCTAAAAGCATACTATTAAAACCACAGTACAGGCCATGTTATGTGTAAACACAGTTTTGAGAAGGTACTTCACTTACAAAGTGAAAATGAAAGAAAACAAAACAAAAAAACAACAACTCCGGTTGAGTCGAGTTGCATTTTTACTGCATTATTGTTATAATGAGGATGCAATATTGTTCGATTGAAAAGTGTGTTAACGCAATAATTTTGGGTTTGGAAAGAAATATAGTTTTAAAAAGGAAAACACTGTTGAGATCACTTGATGGAGGCAGATGCATCAGAGGGCTCACTGAATGATCATACAACCACAGAGCCACAAAAGCAGCCTGAATTTTTGCGATTGCGTCCGAATAAAAAAAAAAAAAGCCAAAACAGAGAATGAGCACATACCTCTGTCTTGGTCTCAGAGTATTCCTTCACTCTCTCCACTGCTACTATGTTGTTCTCCAGATCTGAAGTCATGCGCACCATCCAGTTCAGAGACATGGTCACCTGCCAGGGCGAGACACAGTTAGAGAAGCCGCTCCCAAAGGCCTGGTAAGACACCTAAAAAGATCCAGAGCAGAGGGAGAGGAAGCGCGAGACTTTACCTGGAGGGCGTAGGACACCGACAGACCCACGAGGCCGGGGTTCAGATTCTCCTTTCCAGTCACGGCGAACAGAGCGGCGAACAGCACGATGCAGTTCCCGATGAACTCGATACGCACTCCCAGCCACCTGGACGAAAGCAGGGGCCAGTGAGAAGGTTCCACCTCTTTGAGAATGGAGGGCCTCGCCCTCTGTTATTCAAATCATTCTATGCTTGTTTTCTGGCGCTAATCGGGGGACTCGGGTTAGTAGTTGTTGACGCGACTGCACTTTTGCTGTCAGAAAAGTTCCGCTTTACGCGGACAACACTCTACACTTGCTCTGTGGTTAGTGGTAAATGACAGCATATTTACAGATGTGGAAACAGTCTCTTAGTATGTGAACGTTTTGTGTTCCAGTCTCGACAGGTTTCACTTTCCTCTGCACCTTTCAGCCTCTGTTTACTTTCACCAGCTCTGACAGGAACCTCGCCTCTCCAACACAACCACAAGATGGATGTAACACCTCTTTCCTTGCATTGACCATCGCCAGCTGAGAGAGCTGAGGTCTCACTACTCAGCTTTACTTTTAAGAATACCAAAACAAAACTCTCTGTTTGGTAAACGTGTCACTGGCCGGCCCTCTAGATTTATTTTCTTAAGGAATGAAAAATGAATGTCTAATTAATTAGACATGACAGCCTTTCAGTTCAATATAATTTCATTAATCCCCAAGTTCAAATTCTGTAAATGGAAAATGCTTTTAGCAAAATCTGTTCCAAGGTTTTACAATTCTGGATGTCTAGAAAAACAATGATAATCTGGTCCTGACCAGGTATTAAAATTAGGTAAAAACGACCTCAGATGAACAACGACGTATCATAAGATATAATGACTAAACCCTCTAAAGCCTGATCCAAGAAGAAATACAGATACAATTTCTTATTATCTGAATAATATCAATTATCTGAAGCCTCTATTTGGCCCTTCAGCAAAATATGAAAAATATGCAGAAATCCTTATTGACTATTCTTTATTCATTACCATACGATAACTCAAAATTACAGTTGTGTAGTCTTCTGCTCACCGTTATCAGATATAACTGAGCAAAGTTGTTACCATTAAATGACTCAAAATCTCTTTGACGCGAAAGATTTCCGAAACCGCATGTATCAAATATGATCCATATGGTATTATAGGGTTAAGTTACTAAATGATTCAGTAGCTTGTGACAGTTGGTATGAGTTAGCATTGTGCTGGTATGCTGTGTTATGGTTTCTCTGAGCATCTCTAGTCTGTTCCAGAAGTCTTGTTTGTTTAGATGTGACTTCAGGGATCTAAGCTGTGCTGCCGTGTCCTTTTAGAGAGCAGAGGCTTTCTCCTGACGTGCTTCAAAACGAGCCACATGTGTTTAGTCTTTTTCAAGTGGTCCTGACATGAACTTTTACATCCCATATGCTAACTGAGGCCTATAGAGTCGGAGATGTAGTTTCTCTGAGCGTCACACAATCCAGTCTGTGGGCTGCGTTTTCTGGATGTTAGGAAACAACCTTGAAATCCTTCCCAGACTGAGAGGCAGCAACAACTGCTTCTCAAATTGTCAAAGCTTGGGCTTATTGCTGATGACCAGTAAGGGTTAAGTGGATTTGATTAGCAGAACCCAGCCGCTGGAAGCAGCAAAGGTGGGCAGAGTATTTACATGTCGTGTGTTCTTTTTTTGTTCATCTGAAGTCGTGTCTACCTAATATGAAGACCTGGTGACTGGTGAATGACTTGTTGTGTTTCCAGTATGACACCAGTGTTTAGAAAGTGATTTCAACAAGACTGGAACACAGAGCTGCTTTTCTGCAGGCCTGAGACGAGACACTTACCTGTTGGACACTATACCAGGGTAGTAACTCTTTTGGTTCTCATCCACTTTCATATCACTCATCAGAACAAAGGCATCGTGTCTGCCATAGGCTCGGACTACACTAGAGCCCGTGACGGTCTCAGAGAAATGGGAGTAAATGGGAGAGCGGCTGACCGACTCCAGGCGCTTAAGCTGCCGAGACGTGGCAACGTAAAATCTCTAAAGGCGTTGAGGGGGGAGAGAGACAAACACAAGGTTAAAACCGGAGCCGGCTTCACACGTGCTCAGCTATTTCAGAACAGTTCATGTTGCACATGTATGAGCCTGCACACATACACACACTTGCACGCACACTGGGCAATAAAGTAAGGCTGTGTGGAACAAAACACCTGCAGAGTCATTTGATATTCCAATTTTGGGATTGTTGACAGGGTGCCAGCTAACGCTCCCAGTCTCCACCAGCACTGCATCGTTAAGCTCAGGAATGCTGCAGTGGACCATAACGCTGGAATCATAACAGCTCTCCAAAGGGCTGCCAGCTCTGCGCATTCTGGTCTGCAGGGGGTTTGTTTTCCACGACACAAATATTGGTATTAAAACTTGACTAATAGTTTCAGGGAGACGGCTTTTTGGAAAGGTTTGGAGGCTTGAAGCGGTACCTCTGCTTTCATTAGTGTTTCACCAGTCTGATTTCACATTGCTCACATCAGAATGCATGAGTGGAGCCCATTAGCACGTTAGAGTTAAGACGCATCATGCAGCACGGAGACAGCCATGCGGGGTGAGCGCCATGACCAAGCAGCAAAGTGACAGCGGTTTGTGTTAGTAGAGCTGATTTTAGTCAGTTGGAGGTCCATTAAGAATCACTAAACAGACCCCCCACCCACTTAAATCTGTGACATTTCTTAATAGATTTCAAGTTGGCTTTAAAATCTTAAGCAGACCTGAGCAGGTCCGTTGAATGAAGGTGTTGTGAAAGTATTCTAAATTCTCAATGATTTCTGAAGATTTTCTTTGGTGTGTGATTTTGTTGTGAATGTCTACAAGCAGAACATTCTGGTCTAAATGTGGCATGGCAACAATTGCCCATTAATTCAGAAACCAAATCCAAACAAAAGAACAACAACAAAAACAATCAGCATGGCCACAATAAAAATGACAAACGCGTCATTAAGAAACGCAGTTTTCTACCTACAACCAGATCAAGCTGCTCACAGGGCAGATAATATGCTCATCTATCCTATCTGACGGCACCGTAGCCCCCAACCAATAAGATCCGAGCAATAATAAGGACTGAAGAGTAACAAAAAGACAGCAAAGAGAGAAGGTAAACATTTGGCTGTGTCTGAGCTTGAAAATGATGGAAGCGGGTTCTGGTTGACTGAACAGCAGTAATAAATGCAACCCTTTTCTCAACGCCTAACATGAGATACCTGAAGAAATGTCTGCCTTTAGAACAGCACTAATACAGAGAACTGACCAAAACTGACTTCAGATGTCTTTGCTGTAGAAGGGTGAACTAGGAAGCAGGCTCCAAACGCCTCAGACTTTGCTGTATGAGCTGCCCTACAGAAATTAAGCCTCCAGACATCTGATCAGGGTCAGATTGATATCTGTTCTACTGGCAGGCTCACCTACACACTGGGACACAACATAAAAACATAGAGCTAAACATATGGATCCTGAGAGAATGCGCCACGTTGCCTGAATTTAGTTTCACTTAAGACTTCAAAGCTTATTCAGTGGAAGAATAAACTGTGTAAAACAGAGTTGGTATGTAAAATATTTCCTCATATATTAAGAGCTGTTGTCAAGTTTAGCTGAACGCTAAGTGCTGATCGAAAGGATGATTTTTGGTTCAAGTATTCCAATAATAAATACCGTAGGTTTGACGATAAAAGGCTTTTGGCAGTGTCAAAGAGCACTTTCACTCGTAACCATGTCGGGCACCAAAGTAGATTTAATAGCTCTGGATGATGACATTTTAATGCCTTTCAGTCCAACTATGATGGCACCAGGAACGGAATTGGAAAAGGACAGGGCTTTAACTGGAGGATTCATTTAAAACTCTTTTTAAAGTTACAATCCAAATACCTCTCCAAGCCTTTCATGTGGCTTCATAGTGCACCCCCCAGCTGAAATGTCTCGTTGGGATGTTTCTACGCACCAGCTCAAGAGCTTCCACTCTTAACTTACAAAGCATCTACATGTACGGACAAAGCTGACTAGGACTACTAAATACTACTAAATTCTACTCTAGCTACAGCTCTACAGCAGCAATTATCAGATCCTCAAACACATGCAACGATCTACCAGCACACTCACTCAGAAACACTCTCAGCCATGCATGTTGTATTAATGAGTTAGCAGACTCGTTTCCTATTTACCTGAACCCACCAATAGAACACCATTAACGGGGCTATGACTATGAGGAACATTGGGGTGAGGGCAGAGCATATGAGCAGCACATTCAGTGTGTACCAGAAAGTGCGCATCCATATGTCAATATTATCTGGGATCTGGGAGTCTATAGCATCCACGTCTTTGCTGAAGCGGTTTAGTAACCGCCCAGTCGGGGTGCTCTCGAAGAAGGCCTGCGGCGCTCGCAGGACCCCCTGAAGCATGTTGTGGTGCGTGAGCTTGGCTGCCCGCAGCATACTGTAGGCCCGGCACAGCAGGCAGTTAACCAAAATCAGCACACCTGCGAGAAGGAGGGGGGAGGGGAGGGGGTCAAGTGTGACAACAAAACAACATCCGTGTTAAAAGGATAAGGAGCTTCTCTTTCTGACCAATGACACAGCAGCTTCCGAACGAGACTGCAAACAAGACCATGTTAACGTCACTTCTTTCTTTTTGTGGGAGCGTTTCTGGGCACCGGTGATTCAGGCCTGCTCTAAGTAACCCGCATCTTTTGGTCTAAATTTTAAGCTAAACCTAAACTGAGATGAGTACAACATGCGTTTCTTGCAGGGCGTTTCTCAATCTGGCCTTTTATTTATTCATTCAGATGCCGGGGTGACTCTCTGGGTGTAACCCTTGATTTCTGAAAATCAAATAAGTTTTCTATGATTTTGATATTAAAGTACACCTTAACCTTAAGAGAAAAAGTATAATAATAGATTGCAAATAATAATTTAAAGGGGCATAAATAGTGGAAAAAGAAACCTAAAATTCACCCTTCTTTCAGTCAACCAGCTCTTATCATCCCACCTGAGACCTAAGATGCTCTGTGTTGCCATAACAACAGTTCCCATTACAGACATAGACAAAACATTGCGTATCAGTGGTGACATAACCAGCCTCCAGACGTTATTCATGTAATCGTAGCAAACCCAGACACCCGGAAACTTGTTCCAGTCTGCAGTGAACAAACAGACCGAGGCGTGCTCACGCTGCCCCACCACTAGAGGGCAGCTGAGCTCCACTTTTGGGCTTATTGTGACTACATTTCCCAACCTGACAGATGTTTTTAAGAGTGTGTGTGAAAAGGTGTAGAAAAATAAAGGCTGCAGGCATGACAGGAAGTGCTTGGGCTGCGGAGAGAGCACAGTGAATTAAGGTAAAGGAAGGAGGAAAACACAGCGGCGGGTGCTCCACATTGCTGTCGCAGGCCATGGAAGAGGGGGAGGGGGAGGGCGACACTCTAAGGTTACAAAATTTGCAACATGCATGCTACATGCCACTCGGTGAAAAAGAAGAGCCGCTCATTTGCAAAGAAAAGAGGAACAGGAAGGCGCGTCCCAAACAAGAGTACCTGAACAAAGACGTATACGAGTGCCAGGGGGGCTATGACAACAGCAAAAATGGGCGTGCTGCTAATGATAACTATCATGGTGGAGAGGGAAACGAAGAAGGTGGCCAGGAACATGAGCACGGTGGACGGCAGCGCCTCGTCTATGACATAGATGTCCTTGGAGAAGCGGTTGATGATGCGTCCTATAGGGGTGGTGTCAAAGAAAGACTGGGGGGTGTGAAGTTTGTTGGCGAGCAGGTTAAAGTGCAGCTTCTTGGCTGCTCCGATGTTTCCCATGGCTAGAGTGAAGGAAGAGATCATGACCAGGAGACCTGGGGATGGGTTAGCCCACGGGAGAGAGGGAGAGGAGGGATAAAGATATCAGAAAGGAAGGTTTTACTGCGGCGTGAAATTATAAAGGCAGCATCTGTCCTGAGGACAAAGAACTTTAAAGCCCTAATATGTCCCATCCACAGCCTAGCAAGTAAAAAAAAAACTGCATTTTAGTTTTTATGTGGGAAAGCCAGTTCTCCCAGCATCTGTTTAATGTCTCCAGAGAGCTTTCTGCATCAAAACAAAACTTTGCACTGTCTGAAAGGCAAAAGAAGTTGGATGAATTCAGCTGCAACAGGCGGCTGTGTGGGAGGAAGTTTTGTGGAGAGCTCAGGTTTCAGAGTAATTCCAGCACCGTGACGAGGCGAGCACATATCACAGAGCGGCTAACCGTGTGCTTTTCTTTCTTTTTTAAAGCATCTGCTCCATGCTTCTTACCTTGCGCAATGCCCAGTGCCGCGTACACCCCCACCCTCATGTTAACGTTCTCCTTGGTCTGGTTTGTCGCGGCGTCGTTGGTCCACTGGCTGAGCCAGATGTTGGCCCCGATGGCGGCGGCGCTCTGGCAGCCGTACAGCAGGCAGATGATGACCGACAGCAGAGGCCCCACCGCCTTGGCGTACTCTAGGTACACTTTGGTTTTTACCTGGTTAGGAGTCACCCGGAAACAAAAATCAGACGGTTGCTCGTTAAGATGAAGTCCGATACTTTTTCTTGTATTTACTGGGACAAAATCTTTACATTTACAGGTCAGAGGAAAAAAACAATCAGAACAAAAAGTATTAAAAAATAAATAAATAAACTTAAATAGTGAAATAATGTAATGCATCGAGCCTGAGGTGACTCACCCGGCCTGTTTCTGCGGTCTCAGCCTGGATGAGCTTCTCGGCCTCGCGCGGCCTCTTCTCTGGCGGCTCTGGGTGTTTCTTTTGGCTGCAGCCATGTCTCCTCACCGACCGACATCTGGGGTTCTCCCCCTCTGACGAGACAATGCTGATCTGCCTGGAAGCGGCGGAGGAAAAAAAAAGGTGGGCACGTGAATGTGATTTGCTGCTTTTGGGGGAAAAGAAAAAGCAAACCATTTCCTGTACCTTATGAAACTTTTCTTGGCTTCATTCATGATTGGTTCGTTGTCAACCATGTCTGTGTGGTGGTTGCTAAGGGCGTCATCGGGGAACATTTCCTCCTCCTCGATCAACTCCTCTGTGAACCCATTGGGACAATCAGAATCCTGACTCCACAGTTTTCCCGCTTGGATGGGAGAAGGTGCTGCTCTACCCGTGACTTCCTCCTCGGTGATGTCCTCCAGAGCGTAGTTCCTCAGGAACTCGGCGAAGGCTCCGTTTTGCGTGAGCAGCTCCTGGTAGGAGCCCATCTCCGACACCCGGCCGTCCACCATCACCACGATGTTGTCCACCTGAGGCAGGAAGCTGATGCCGTGCGTCACCAGGATGCGCGTCTGCACCCAAACAACACGGGCAGCGCTTGATGAATTAACCATCTGCTTATTAAATTAGCTGACAAACGTGTGCGCGCACCCATTTCATTACAACTGGACACACGGACACTTTTCCTGTCAGAACACCAGCTCACAAAAATTCACACTGCCCTTATCGGAGACCGGGTTTCAAATCTATTACACGTAACAAACTGTTGAAAGATGTTATGACTTCCTCTTTAGTACGATAAGATAAGATTCAGCTTTCTAAGAAGAAAAATAGCTCTGTGATGTGCTGGAACATGTCATTCACATGAGGCAGTAACATGTTTTATTGGTTTTCGGCATGGTTTATGCCTCTGAATATACCGCTCTTGTCCAAGCTGGACTTTATATCTTTATGGCAGACACATAATTGGTGCTTTTCAGCTCAAATCTGTCAATATTTGGACCCGCACAACTGCTGTGAAACAGTCAAAGCGCAGTTAAAATTTGACAGATTTTATGAGCAATAGGCACCTGCTGATGATAAACAGACGGAGGAGCAAACATCTGGTCAGAACCGTCCTGTTGTGTGGACTCTTCTCACCTTGCCTTTCAGCACTCCCTCGGGGCCTATGAGGTTGTCAAAGATGTGTTTGGCCACGTGGGCGTCCACCGCAGACAGCGGGTCGTCCAGCAGGTAGACGTCAGCGTCGCTGTACAGAGCTCGAGCCAGGCTCACCCTCTGCCTCTGACCCCCGGAGAGGTTGATGCCCTGCAGCACAAAGGAGTGACGCTTAGGCCTCGCTGTGACCACCAGCCAGCCTGAGGGATCCTCAAAACCAACCCATCAAATTAGGGTCAACTTTTAAATATGAAAGAATAAAAAGAGATCATTTCTTCACTCTGAGATCAATAAAGTCTTTTTTTCTCTGATTATCAGACATCCCATGAAACCTGCTCATAGGAAAGCACAACCAAACCAGAAGGGGATTACTCAGTAGAAGAAAATGAGTGGTTCTTCTGCTTTTGTACCTTCTCTCCTATTTCTGTCATGTCTCCTCCGGGCAGAACCTCCATGTCGGGGGTTAAGGCGCAGGCCTCCAGAACGCAGCGGTACTTCTGCTCATTGTAGGTGTTCCCAAACAGGATGTTGTCCCGCAGGGTGGCGTTCTGTATCCAGGCCTGCTGGGGGACGTAAGCCACGGACCCCTGAAGACAGAGGCAGACGGCTAAATTCATCCTTCCTCACAAACAACCACTCTTGCTCCAGTAGGTCCGATATGACCTTTAATGGCATTATTGTCTAAAGTTCTGAGATCACAGAGGGACACAAAAGCTGTAAGAGGTCACTCACAGTTAAATAGTCCAACCTTTCTCCTCTTAAATGAAAATAATACTTATGAGGGGGTGAGACAGCAGCAAAAAAACTACTGGAAAAAATACATGTTCATGTTTTTAGCTGACGCTTTCACCCAAATAAGGCTTACAATACACAAATATACAAATATACAAAACCTCAGTCGATACAAAATTTTGACAGCTTTCAGGGTAGAAAGGAAAAAGAAGGCGATTATATAACTCAACTCTCATCTATGATCCAAATTTAAGATGAAATGGATACAAAAAACAATACAAAGATATGAAATCTCATCTCAACGAATAACAATGGGACAGAGAAAAACATAATATATAGTGACATGTTTTCTGTTTAACGACAAATTTTGTCATCTTGAATTTGATGAGAAAAAGGCTGAAAAGGGCTGATCATGTTTTGACAGGGTCAGCGAAGGGCTGCACAAATTTTTGATAATAAAAAGAATCATCTTAGGAAATATTTTAGTTGATTGGCAACAACAACAACTGGTTGTGAAAAAAAAGAGCACCTTAGAGGGCAAAGTCTGTTGGAAGAAAAAAAATTTGCCACAAAGGCATTGGCAAACTTAAAGGTTTTATCCCAATTTATCAGCAGATGATGGACGCAAGAGGCCCAATGTAAAGAATATCACATGAGAGGACAGATGTGAACGTGGTCCCATTTAAAATGGGATCTCTAACCATATGAGTGAACATCTGCCTCTGTCGAATGACTTGAACTGATCTGGAAAGATCATCTAATCTGAAAGGTGAAAATGTTTTTTGTTTTTTTTATTTTAGGAGGGCAGGGCTGCTTCCACGTTTTTGCTCCAAATCAAGAGCAACCAAATGTAAAACTGACTCTGATGACTTTATGGTCTATTTCTAGCGCGTTTCGGATTCAGAGCAGTGCGACATACCCGAATGGAAACCTCTCCCTCCAGCTTCTCCATTTCCCCCAGCAGGGCGGAGATCAGGGAGGACTTCCCACAGCCCACGTGGCCCACCACCGCCAGCAGGGAGCCCGGGGGGGCCATCACGTTGACGCTGCAAACACAGCAAACGCCGACTTGACTTAAGCCCAGGGACGCATAGCACGTGCGCTTCCCAACCGGCTCGGGGTGACTCACTTGTGCAGGACGGGTGGGTCTTGTTTGGCCCAGGTGAATTTCCCATTCACCACCGCCACGGCGAACTCTGTTGAGCAACAGCGTAACATGAGACTATCTTTTCATCTGCTTTTGAGCTGCTCACCGGTGATAAATATCAAGTCCTCATCCAGATACCCTCTGGGTGAAAGGTGGGCAGGGACTTACAGTAACGTAGTGTATTTTAAAAACCTATTGATCTTAAACAATGGAATAATAAATCACACGTGACCAATGACAATAAACAACACGCGGGAGCTTGTTCAGCTTTTACCCGTGGCTGTGTTCTTTTTGTCCACCGAGTTTGGATCCAGCTCATCGTGACTCAGGAAACTCTGGATTCGCTTCAAAGAGACGCTGGTCTGAGAACAAAAGGTACGGGATAAACACGCAGGCATTCAATCAAGCCCGCTAAACAAACTGGTCTGGGAGAGGAAGTCAGAGCAGAGCGGTCTACCTGGACGATGCTGCTGATGACTTGGGGGAGCATGTTGAGGGGAAATCTGAGGATGTTGAAAAGTGAGAGGGACACGAAGGCCCTCTCTGCGTCCAGGACGTTGTTCTCGTCCACCGTCACATACACAGCGAACGATGTCAGGGCCACCTGGGAACAGAACAGAACAGGAGGCTTGCTGTGGAAACTCGGCTAAAGGAGCTCTTTTATCCGTCTCGAAGGGGGTCAGTTGTCTGCTCTTCTTCACCCAAAACAACCTCCAGGATGGAGCCCATGTTTATTCGATGAGTTATAGGCAGTCCTACTCTACCTTATCTGGCTCGCTCTGCCTTGTGAGACGGCTGAGAGGAGACCAGTTTGGGGAACATTTAACGTCCCCTCAGTACTCGGAAGGTCTTTGGAAAGGCTTAGCTTTATCAAAACAAGAATTTCGTGCCATGTAACCAAAACATTACGATATACAATATGAAAGATTTATGCTGACCTGACAAAACATGGATGAGTTAGGCTCTTTTCTCCTATAAGACCCCAGCAGAGGCTTGTCCATGATAAGATCACCTCACATTTGTGTGCCAAATACTTAGTATTGTTGGTATACTAACAATACTAAATATAATGTTGGTAAATTATACTAAGAGAAGCAAAAGTATCTGTAATTGCAGACGCAGAATGTTGTCTTGGATTGATGATTCTTGTTAAATATCTATCCATTTTTACTAGTTACTGAGCCCTCTTTTATGCACAACTTCAATCTCTGCCCCTTAAAATGGGATAAATAAAGACAAATAGAATAGAAATAGAAATGGTATACTCTTTAGTCCTGAAAAAATAAATAGAGGAATATTTGATATTTGTGATTGACTGTATCTGTGCTTCAGTGTAAGAGGTGTTTTTTTAAATCACTGTTACGTCCCCTGGAGGGGGCGTGGCATTGGGCCTTTTTTTTCCCCTCTCCCCGCAACTGCTTTCCCAACGTATTCATTTTGGTTCTGAAGATGTCTTGGCGCCGAAAATGGCTGCCTCGGTGCTTTCACCAAAGCAAATTCCTTGTATGTGTAAACCTACTTGGCAATAAACCCAATTCTGATTCTGATTCTGATTCTGATTCTGATTTGAATGAGAAAAACTACATTTGGAAACCAGAAGTATAGATAAGCACCTGTCCCAACTATGATCTAATCCCGAGTTGCATTATTTCCTGAGATTGAGGTAACTTTCAAATGATATCAATAAGAAACTAATTATGGTTCAGTAACATAACCACAAAGGGATGTAAACGCTGAGTGAGAAAATCAGGTGTTACTGGAAAAGCGGCAGCACAGGGACTGTAACATGGGCACTTAGTGGCTTCATTCTTCAGGGAAAATAAACCCACCATTTATAAATGTGACTTTGTATCTACAGATAGCACAAAGAGACTAGTGTTGAGATCCAGAAATTTGGAAAATCCTGATGGCCGCCGCACCGGCATGTGACATCCTCACATTAGCTGGAAATGCAAACGCCGCCAGTGTGCGCACAGACCTCTTTTAGGCAACATGACCGTAACCTGACTTCCAAATCTCGCCTTCCTTCTACAGCGTGCACACGGAAGAGCTCTTCATCACCTTTTTTTTCCTATAGCTCTTTTGTGAAAACCTGGGCTGTCGGAGTTAGACTGAAGATATGAAGGTCCCTGGTTCAATCCCAGGTTTTAGGAGAAGGCTCTTCATCTGATTGTTGAGGTACTCAAATAACCCTGGCTAAGACATAATAGTAATAATAATAGTTTAGCTTCTCTTATCCTGACTCTTACCCATACCTCTGTACAACTCACTACTCTTTCTGCACTTCCTTCTCTTTCTCTTGCTGCCACCACCGATTCTGACTGGAGATTTTCCTCTAGAAAACTTTTTGTCATGTTGATGATAACTTGTCTACTTTGTAACTTGGATAAAAGCATCTGCTAAATGCATAAACTTAAACACTTGTCAGATTCTATTCATTGCAGGAAAACGTGACTCGTGAGCTCATGAAAGCTGTCTGAGTAGAGCCACGTTTCACTTGATAAGCTGTAATAATGGCGACCACAAGCATGCGGTCATCTCCCTTACAAGGAAAGGGGCACTGGTCCAGGCCATGGTGGACAGAGCTCCCAGGTAGGCTGTCTTGCGCAGCACGTTGAGCTCCTTCTGCCGGATGGCCAGGACCTTGTCTTTGAAGGAGTTCTCCCAGGCATACAGCTTGAGGACTTTGATGCCGTTCAGGATCTCGTTCATCAGCTTGATGCGGTCATCTTTGTGCTTCATCTGCTCCACCTGAGGAGGATAAGAGCACAACCTGATGAGCCAGACTTTTAATTCACAAAGATTACAGCTGTCATCTTGACATTTTGGTCGTTGTTTACATCAGTTCTTCTGCTATATTTTCTCACAATGCCCAATAAATGGTGTGGAGTTTAACATTTTTTAATGTTTTAAATAGTCTAATGTCTAAAGCTAAGAAGAGGCCATTCATAGTGTGTGAATTTGAATGTGAAGGGCAGCAACCAAATGTTTCTGCCCAAAAAAGGATGATTCAACCCGTCTGTGTTGGGTTAATACCTGGTAGGCTCGCGTCTTCATGGCAATGACGGCATTAAAGGGGATGAGCATGATCATGACGGCCACTCCGGCGAGCACGGACGGGCCGAGGTTCTAGAAAAGACAGCTGATTATCAACAAACAGCTCTCAAAGGGTTAATGAGCAATGCCCAATGTCAACAACTGTAAGCGAATGCGATGGTAACTAACAGACAGCCTATAACCTGACACCGTTCGTTCTGTATCACTGTCAGGAAAATAGCTGGAGAATATCTCTGCATATTTCACTCAAGACGTCTTTTTCTGTGTCCATACAAAATCTGGCTAAAAGCAAAAAAAAATACATCAGACTTACTAAACTCAGCATCCTGTTTTTAATGTGAATGGCTGCATGGTCTGACAGACAGAGGCACATATTTGTACTCTCTGCATAATGCTAGAAAATAAGCCTACCGACATGGGAAATGAAGGTGGCAGGGGCTCCTTTGCCTCGGGGACTCTTATTATTATTATTATAAATGTTTTAAGAAGGTTTGGATCTCCTCGGAAATTTGAACAATTTCCGCTCTTCCCTTCACTCCACTGTGGGAGTTAACTTTTCTGAAGAAACACCCAAACCACATGACGAGTACCTGGCCTGCTTCTTCTTGTGCTCTTTTTCATGTCTACTTAGCTGTGACACAATCGTTTATTTCTTGTTATGACTCATTGAGGGAGCATCGACCAAACAGAGGCAAAAATCAAGCCTGTGCATGAGCATAAACCTATGATGACAGAGCTATGAAGGAAACTTATACATAGCTTACTATCATCACACCACAACCTTTCCACAGCTGGCTCGACCATTATTTTTTTTGGCTCTCTCTTGTTTTGTGGTTAGAGTGTGAAAGCAGGAGTAAATATGAAGCAACTCTTTTGGTGACGCTTGGTTTAGTCTTTTTCCCCACTGTTATTCACTGTACAAACATCCTCTGGTAAACTGTGTATTCTACCTGCCAGAGGAAGTACAGAGCCAGCATGATCTGAAGAGGCGCAGACCACAGCATGTTCAGGAAGGTGGTGAGGTCCATGAACCTTTGAGCGTCCACAGACATCAGATTTACAATCTCTCCCACTGTCGATGAACGCTTGGCGGCGTTGGTTATCACCAAAGCCTGACGAGCAAATAAAGAGACAAAAACCTGTTATTATTTTATTTGAGGTAGACCCTTAGGTGTCTTTTGGAAAACCGTGAGGAGGATTGCGGCGTGCCTTCCTGTAGATGGCTCCTATGAGAGCGGTGCGGACGTTCATGCCGGTGACGAAGCAGTACTGAAAGTGGCGGTGCAGGATGAGCGTTTGCAATAAGGCTGTGAAGAACATGAGGAAGGCCAGCGTGTAGCCCCACCAGTCAGGAACACCCTTCTGCTTTGTGAATGAGATCAACATCCTAGAAAAGAGAAGTGAAGGAAATTCTCTCAGGTGAGGGCTGACTGTTTACTTCCCCCTCCACAATACTCATCTTAGTGTATTAACTGGAACAGGATTTGATTAATTTGAGACTGTAATGTGAGAATGTTTGAGTTTTGGCCAAAAGACAAAGGGGAAGTTTGAAATATGACCTCTCGTCATCCACCTCCAGAAAGCCTTGTTTTTTTCCTCCTAATAAGGTCTTAAAATAGCACTGACTCTGAGCTGACAATAATTTGTGAATCACCTGCAGCCATAAAAAAGAATAAAGGCTAATTAAACTAAGAGGTAACAAATAGCTTTGAGTAAAACTAGTGGAACCAGCTATGGATTTTTAAATACACACAAATTAATATTTGTACATAAATGTATTATATCATCAAATGATTTGTTTCTTGTTTGATTAAAATTATTATTATGAGATTTCGCTCTTTGTTTTTCTATCTTTTTCACTCTTCATTCAATGTTGCCTTCAACTTTTGTTAGTTTATTTTTCTTAGTTAGTTTGTTCTTTTTTTTTTTGTTCAAACAATCTGTGGGGAGAAATAAAAACTTTATCTGCCAAGTCCATCCATCCATCCATTATCAATACCGCTTATTCCCTCATGGGGTCGCGGGGGGAACTGGAGCCTATCCCAGTGGTCAACGGGCGAGAGGCAGGGTACACCCTGGACGGTCCGCCAGTCCATCGCAGGGCAACACACAGGACATACAACCACTCACACTCACATTCACTCCTAAGGGCAATTTCCCCAATCTCCAATCAGCCTAACATGCAGGTTTTTGGACTGTGGGAGGAAGCCGGAGAACCCGGAGAGAACCCACGCAGACACAGGGAGAACATGCAAACTCCACCCAGAAAGGTCCTGGTTCCCCCGGGATTCGAACCCAGAACCCTCTTGCTGGGAGGCGACAGTGCTAACCACCACACCACCGTGCCGCCTATCTGCCAAGTCATCACTGCAAATTCCAAAGTGGGGCATGTTGCTGTGGTTAGCTGGTAAAACTGGTTACGGTTTACATAGTGTGAGGATTCTCACCCGAAAACAAAAATCCAGCTTTCAGTGCAGCAGTTAAACTTTTGGTGAATTTGAAAAAGTTGTTTTCTGTCGAAACATCGACGACGATAGGATCTGTGTTAATGAGTCTCGAGTCACATGATATTTGCTTACAAAATAAACACTGGAAAAACGTTGCGGTCAACCATTTCTGATAGCATATCTCACTAACATCACCAGATAAAGCCTCTCAAAGAACATTTTCTGTCCCCTACACGTGAGCCCTGGGCCACCAGGCAGAAAGAGGAAACGTATTTACATGCTGAACAAAGACAGCATACATGTTTTCCAAAATATAGCCACCATGGTTTGGATAAAGAGAGCCTACATGCAAACACACAAACAACATGCAAAAAGACATTTTAAAAAAGCTCTTTTGTGAGGCTGGAACAATGGCTGTTTGTCTGGTGAGGTGTCGGCACATAAAGACGGCATGCAGGACTTTTACCTGAGCAGCTGGGGGTTGACAAAGGTGATGGTGTCCTGCAGCAGCTTGTAGGCTGAGCCAATCAGAAAGTAGGGCCCGAAGGCTTTGATGAGGGCTCGTAAGAAGGACGGCTTACTGGGAGCAGCTTTCTGGCTGGACAGCAGCACCTCTACTTCCTCTGGGCTGCTCTCGGCCCCCCCCCCCACCCCCTGTGACATGGTTGGTGGTCGACGGTGGGGGCTTGGCATACATAGCCTGGCTGGACACATTCTCTTCGCTTTGGGAAGAAGAAAATAAAGAAATAGGTCAAGAAATGCCATGGAGGAAAGACACAAAAATATGTTGGAGAAGCAACTGTTGTCTCTCTGGAAGGAGTTATAGGGTCAGTTTCAAACAATTTGCAGCCAACAATTCTACAAAGAGTGGAAAACATTAAAAAATTCCATGAAGTAAATAAAAAGGTACATCTCAGAACCTACAGGCCTCAGTTAACAGGTTACATATCAAAGTTTGTAACAGTACAATTAGAAACATACTAAACAAGCAGAGCTTGTTGGGAGGGGCTTCATGAGAAAGCCTCTTCTCTGTAAAGGAAGAGGTCAGCACAGTTTAGGTTTGTGTATGAGCATCCATTCCCACAACCAGACTGAATTGCTTCAGGGGAACCCTTAAGGGGAGCTGTACGTAAAAGAATGTGCTCAAACCTCGATGATCTGAGGCCATGCTGGAAAGAGAAGTGGGCCATTGTTCGTCCAGAGCGATGGGGGAGACTGATAATATTATAGAGAAAATGAAAGCCCTGAGCTGCTGAGGGCCCTTCTAGGAGTTGCTGAATCATGAGGTGAGCTTAAGTTTTGCTTTCTCACAAGCTGGTTCTGCTTTTTGCCTATTTGCTCAATCAACACTGACCCTGGAAAGGATCTGGGGATTTTTTTATGATGTAAATACAAAAGGAGAACTCCTTCCAATCACGTGCCCTCATTCCCACTTGACTTTAGACAGTAGAGTTATACAAATAATGAATCCTCTGCCTCTGTCCTGTTGCAATTATTCAAATATTTCGGATCAAATCTGGCCTTATTTGGACTGATGAGCACCGTCTTTGCCGGTCAGGGTTTTATGAATCTCTGTGTAACTGGCTCAACGTTTCTGCTCTGAATTCTACCATATAAAGCACATACTTCGTGGGTAAGGCATCACTCAAATCCCACTGAATCCCTGGCAACAAAGAAGCAGCACATACACACTAAGAACAAAACCAAACGCTGAATCATCTCCTGTGCTCTTTCAGCACGCAGCTACATGTTTATCTGATGATGAGCGGGACTTCCGACTGATTCCTGACGCGGAAACTGACGAAAAGCTTTTCAGCTGAAGTTTTTTTGTTTGTTTTTGAAGTCAACCTCCTTTTGGGTATACCAGTTTAAGATGGATATGCTGCATTACAGGGAGAGCTAGAAACGTTCCAGACCACGGGACCCAGCCAAGCTTTTCCATATCGTTTAACAAGTTGCTCTCAGTTTAGAAAACACAGCCGAACTCAGACAGGAAGACCGTGGCATGGCCAGGAAGCAGCCCGATGGAGGTCAAAGTTCAACACTCGTCAAGCGTGTTTTTCCCCTCCTGTTTTGTCTTCTTGTGGAACTTGCACTTTGATTCTCAGAACACTGAACCCAGATTCACAGAGCTTTGGCCCGCCATGTCAATGCATTCTTCTTCTCTTTATTTAAATGTGGACGTTTAGAAGCACATATCAGAAGTGGAAGCTGTAGTTCAGTTTTATGCATTAGGGGGTAGTAATCCTGCTTGAAAGGTTACATAAAGCACCCTCATAGTTTCACTTGTGCAAAAAGGAGGTAACACACTTCTGAGTGAGAAAACACACCCACTAGCACAGAGGTCTGCCCTGTCAGATAATATTCTCTCCCTCTAGGTGGCCAAAAGATTTCAAAGTCTGTGTTTATAACCTGAAGTCTGAATCTGAGTTGACAAATAGTATAAATAACAGTTTTTTCTGCACAGTGACAAATGAAAACAAAAACAGACAGATGTATATGAAGGTCTACATGCGGAAGATTTTACACAATAAAGGAAACGCTTTGTTCCTCTCCAACTGAAGTGGTTCCTCTCAAAGTATCATATGTCGATATTACACTCCCTCTAAGCCATCCGGGGCTGAAAAACAGATCTGATTATTGACCCGCCGTGCTTCTAAAGGGTATCCACCGTACACACGTCTCCAGTTTCCATTTTTAATCCGATTTCTCCCTATAACAGGTTATTTTTTTAGTATGCAAAAACATCAGCTGCGGAGCCACGCAGCAGCAGGCCTTTTGTGTTCGGGGGGGAAACGTTGGACTCCTGACCCCTCTTACCTCTTGGCCTTGGCCTGCTCCTTTTCCCACTCCTTGAGGAGCCTGGGCACCATCACCTTGGAGCTGTCGCGCTGGTTCAGGGACCAGAGGTCTTTGGCCTCCAGGGGCATTTTGTAGCCTTTAATGGCCAAACTGAGACAGGGAGAGAAAGAATCAGTGGTTTAATTCAGCCAGTGCTTAAAAAACTTCAACACTAAGAAACTAAACATTTGTCCAGTGTTGTTTACTCTCTCAGCAGTATGTTTAGTCACTGACCAAAAAAGTTGGTCAAACATCCGCATTTCCTTTTTGTTACACTTTGTTCAAGGTTTCATTTTAAATTATCCTTAAAATTTGTAGATGTACAGTTCACTGTTCACGATGGGGTTGATTTGGCGTTCATGTTTCAGGATGGTGGGATGAAGCCGCCCAGGTTCTTTATTTCTTGATCAGTTTCAATGGCACAAATGTTGTCACTCACTAAAACGCCCCTGGTAGCTTTTTTTGAAGCTGCCCTTCAACCGTTTACAGTTTTCACATTTTCCATTCATTTTTTTGTTAGTTTTTTTGTGCATTCTTTTACAATCCAAAGCAGAAATTCAGACCCTTATAATAAAACTTACTGTAGTGGAGTTATTAAGTATGACTTAAATTGTCTTCTTTAAATGTACTTCTCCTCATTAGCGAACTATGAAATGTTACCAGGCACAGCATGGAGTGGTGAGAGGCCAGTGAAAGGATCGAGATCAGGCAGCCTGAGCTTACACGATACACGATACATTCTCCCCCTCAATCCTGCTGCATCACTCATTTGAAAAACAAACGTTCTACAACTGGGCGTAAAATGCTTTCCTGAGGCATATATGACTACAGCTGCTGTGCTCAAAAACATGTCACCTTTTAAAAGCTTTAGTATAACTCAGATAACTACAGCAAACAGGCTGTTTTACACCATTTGTTAAAAATATGCTCTATCGTGTTGAATTGAATTGTATTTTGAAATTTGGCTCCACGAAGTGCCAAGTAGTGTGAAAGGTCACTATCTCTGGTAAAATAATGGAGGTTAATCAGCTGTGGAAGCCCAGAATGATTGATTCAAACTGAAACTGAAATAGTTTTGTTGCAGAATTTGACAGATCTGCAAATATGAAATGTTTCATCCCCATCTATTAAATCAAAATGACATTGTATCGTGATAAAAAAGTGCATGCATTTAGCTGATGGTGTTCTGCTCTTGTTGTGCAGACTGTGGGGACGCAGCATTTTCGATAGCCTCTGGAGACGCATTTATTCTTAATGTCAAACGTGTGCAAATACGAACAGAGCTTTAAGTTTGTCCACTGTGTTCATTTTGGGCATATTTTGGGACACTTACATGGACTTAAAATAACTCTTGACCACTTTTAAATGGAGGCTTTACTCGAACCATAACAGCCTAATTTTGTTTGACCTTAACCCTTTCCCTAAAACCAGGAAAAGAAAAGTCTAACTGTGCTGGTGGGGGCCACACTTTTGTCTCCACCATGGAAAACACTCTTACAGAATTTATTTATCTATCCAGTGTTTCTGGCTAAGCAGCTGCTATCCCTCTATCACACACACACTCCTTTGTGTAGGAACCCACTGGAAGAAAGGACACTTCAAAATGTGGTGTGGCGAAGCACTGTCACTTCAAAATGCTGTGACCGGAGATATAATCAGCTTTAAATAGAACGGATGTGCAAAAAAAAGAGGAAAAAAAGGCACTGATATAGATACAGGGAAAATAAAAAACTCTGTATGTGTAGAAAAACTGATAAGCCGTGTAATTGATTTATATATGAGCAAGAAAAGGGGCAAAAATAAACATTTACAACCAAGCATGTGTCTATGGAAGCTGAGAGAGAGAGCACCCACCTCGTGAACCACCAAAATGTCATGGTGGAGAGAAAGCCTGCTGTGGTCTCGGGGCATGGATTCTGAGAAGAAAACGGGAAAATGCGTGGAAAAAAAATAAGTCGGGGAGGTTAAACAAGGATAAAGAGAACATGCTTCTGGCAGCAGCAAGGAGCAGCTGAATTATTTGTGTATGCGCAGACGTTCATGTCCCCGCAGCTCTGAAAATGATCGGGATTTTGTGAACGGGGGGTGGGGGGGGGGCACTCACAGGGTCGGTGACAATGTTGGAGAAAAGAGGAGGCTTCTCGTTAAAGCAGGAGAGGATCAGCTGACTGACGACCAGGCCGAAGTAAATGTAGAACGTGGTGAATCGCAGCTTGTCTGTGACTTCCCTCTGAAATGTCAAACAAGAGAGTGAGTCTGGACGGCTTTTCAAAGCAGAGCTGAACAGGAACATCATTCACAATACTGGAATATTGTTTTTTTTTATCCACACAGAGGTAAATAATTCAATCAAATAAACAGCTCAGTTATAAGGTTCTTCTAACTCAACTTAGTCTTTTAACTGGTTTACGCTCCCTTTCCAATACACAACCAGAGGACAAGATTGATTTATTAGATAGAATTTTCCCCCAAAAGTGAATTATTCTAATTGAATGGAAGATTGTAGTGCAATAACACAAAGGTATCAAAGCGTTGCAGTGAGGTGAGCGGGATACACTGGTCCTTGTGTGTCTCTGTGTGTCCCTGTGATGGACTGGGGACCGTCCAGGGTGACCCCGCCTCTCCCCATTAGGGAATAAGAGGTTACCATAATGGATGGATGGATGCAAAATCCATTCATTTGAATTCTCTGCAAACACTTCCAGTTCTGACTCAAAAGGAGAGTGGTCGGTCGGCCGTTGGCGTTTTAATGTGACCCGAGCACAGCCACTGTGCAAAGATGCACCGCCTTCATCTGTGAGATAACAAAACTTCTCTGGCTGATCTCTTCCTGTTTGCTTACATACTTGCAGCTGAACAAAGCACATGTTAAGGCTTCAGCTTTGAGGAATGACTCCAAAGGCCATCCATCGTGCTAAACAAAACAGAGAGCGACACAAAAGCAGCCGACCGGTGACAACAGTCAGACGCGCCTTTTGCAACCTGCTGCAATCGCAGAAGTGGCACGTGAGGGCGTGAGCCAAGCACAGCCGCAGTCTGTGGGGGGGGTGGTTTCACGGTGCATTAATGATGAATTGCATTTCTCGGGAGGGTGTCTGATCTGGTGCGCAGTCACGGGGGGATTTTTTTCTTAAGCTCCAAATCAGATTATCAAATGTCAAAACAAGAATATTAGCTGATGTAAACAGGTTAATAGGGGTTAAACTTTACTTAGGTTTCACACCATAATGCAATTAGAACCAGCTTTGAAACACACCTCACACCTCCAGAGTTTCCGTGAATATAATGAAATGAAGTTTTAAAAAAAGGTGATATGAGACGAAAACAGATGACGTCACAAAGCTGTGTGGAGAAACTTTTCCTTTTGGGCTCAATCTTTGGGCTAAAGCACACAGCTAGCGGACTAAGATCAGCCTCAAAGCCGTCACCAAGGCAGCCTTTTACCAACTCAAGCACAACAGGATTAAAACAGTCTCTTAAAACGACAGGGAGAGACTCATCCATGCGTTCATCAGCAGTGGACGCTATTACTGTAATGGTCTTTTAACTGGACTAGATTTCAAAACCCTGCTGATGGTTCACAAATCCCAGAACGGTGCGGGCCTACAATACATCTCAATCTGTTCAGAAAATGTAAAGGAGTCTCGTGTATCCGACTTTCAGAGGAATGTACTGTGGATGGACTTTTTTCCCCCCAGAAGAATTGGACTGGTTGTGCTCAGGACCATCAAAAACTGGACTTGTATGGATGAAGGAAAAGGAAACCTTAAATCACTGTGCTGTTTTTTCTCTTTATTTCCCTCAACTTCAGAACAACACAGAGTTTAGATTGGAAAAGCAAAACAGGAGCTTTATTCATTCGGCAATAGGTGAAATGTCAGATAGAAAGAATTGCTTTTCTCGCCACTTTTACCAGAAACTCTGCGAGTGAACACTGGATCTCTTTGAAAACAATCATTTTAAGCCTTTGAAGTAGAAGTGTTTACAGGTTCACTAATCATTTTTCTCCCAAAAGGAAAGGATTTATTTCAGAAACGTGTAATTCAGACAGATTAGAGGCCTACAATTCTGAGAGCCAGAAATGTGGAATTTAACCCATTAATCGCCCAAGTACGCGGTGCTTAGAATAAACTGGGCTTTGGGTTGGACGCCTGCGTCTGAGGCATATTTAACATTTCCCTGCCATTTGGAACGGTGTGTGCTTTTTGCTGCAGTCAGCAGGGTAAGCTGTGTTTTCTCTGCTGGTGAGCTGAGGGAAGTACGTCAGGAACAACAGGCCCACTATTCCCTCTCTGCTCCGCTCAGCGCTGACCTGAGCCGACCCCTCTGGAGACTCTGCTCACTGTAAACTCTCAACCGCCCCCTAAGAAAACAAGGCCACAATGCTGACCGATCATGTGTCCTTTGATGCCGATAACACTCGGCGGTGCAGGGGAGGGTGGAGATGGACGTGCGGCGGGAGATTACGGCTGATATGTAAAAGGGACATCTGGAAGCGACAGTGTGTTCTCACCTCGTTGGAGGCTTTTAGGATCTTGGAGCGGAAAGGCACGATGGCACACAGCATAGACAGGAACCAGAAGATGAAGAGGACCCCTGAGGACGGAACTCCGCGCAACCTCTCAAACTGGATCAGAAACGTGGCCAGCAGCTGAAAGAAAAAGGCGGGGGGTGGGGGGTTAATAAGGACAGGGGAAAAGGAATGGCAGGGAAAGGGAGGGGGAGCGACTAAGTTAGATTAACCGGGACCATGAGCGAGGGCATGTAAGGTAAGCCTCCAGTGGGACAGTCAAACGCTGGGTTACACGTGCTCTTACAGGAGTTTATAGACCAAAAAATAAAACATTTGATCTGCAACACACACGTAAAATACTCGACACAAAAAGGATGGTTTTATTTAACCTTAAGACCTTTATCTAAAGGTTTCTCAACAAGACAGTCAGGCAGAGAGAGAGTGAGACACACAACAAATGGAGCGAACCGGGACTCAAACCCTATCGGTGGCCTTTCTCCACCCGCTATGAAGGCTGAACCATCAGATGTGAGGGTGTGCACGTGACAATACATGGTAGGGTAGCATGCAAAAGAGTGTTTGGAGATAAGACGGTGTGGATTTAAACCTGCATTCACTTAGGTTTTCAGGGTTTTACGGAGTATTAGCGCCAAGCAGAGGGAAGACAGCAAAATCCTTATCTACTAAGAAGTGGCACCTGGAACTAGTTTAAGCTCAGCTCGACTCAAGTGTACCTGACTCATCTCGATTTAAGTGCTTTAATAAGGCTGCAATGAGAAAACTGCAAGAGGGCCCATGATCCTCATTTCTACATGAAACAAACAAAACAAAACAGTGCAGGACATCGAGGTGACATTAACCCTGACTCATCCAGTTACGTGGCTCCCTGGCCAATCAGTGGCCGAGTAGATATTAGAGGAGCAAGCTGTCATCCACAGGCTGCAGGCCACTGATTGGCCAGGAAGAGATGTCACTGAAACTCGGTTTGAAGATCCTCAGAACACGTTTGGTGTGCACTCAACCTGATGTGAGATCAGAACTCAAGATGAGGTTGTTCCATTTTGGAGACAATCTCAAAAGAAGGTCTGAATTGCTCTGAAGGTTTTTATTCAAAAGATTCTCTCGTGATTGATGTTTAAGGAGCCACTATCGCTTTTATGCTTTTATCTCCACTGCTGTGTGACCCTTTTCCATTTGAAGAGACAAGCTTGGAACTTTCTATTTGGTTGACAGACTAACATTTGAATTCTGTTTAAGCATCATTCTCATTTCCTAAAAAAGGCAAAGAAATGACGAATGCAGGGCCTTTCATAAAATTGCACACGGTGTTCCGAAAACCTCCCTCACTCGGATTGTTCCAGAGACTCTGGCCTACATTATCACAGCTACAAGGAAATTCAATTACAGAGTAAACACAGAACAAAACCTGAACATGATTGAAGTTATTTATGACAGGAAATAAAGGTGAAAGCTGATTAGCGAACAGCAGGCTAATCAGAACATTCTGCCTTTTAATAATCAGGCAAATATTCTAGTCACCTCCTTATTTATCTTTATCAGCTGTTATTTACGCACAGATGAACGCAGAGAGACGCGTAGGAACATTCCTTCGCAATGTGTGGAATTCACAAAGTTGGATTAATAGCCAGGAATGTGTGTAAATGTAAGCACAGCTTTGGTTGTGCTTAGGGAGAGCCAGCACCCCGACACGCAACCTCCATCCCTGTGTGCGTTATTTAGCTCTCCAAGAAAATGTTTATGTTGTTTTGAAACAGAAATGACCGGCACACTATGTGCTCTTCAGGGATTCCAGCAGACAGCAGCACAGAAGATTCCCATTCATGTCACTATGGTTTTAGGTATACATCCAACTTTGACTTACTTTTTTACTTTGGAAGATTACAATCATAACATCCAACTGAATTTAGCTTTGTTTTCTCCCTGCACTGAAAAGATTTGATGCAGCAGTTTTACATTGCACCAGTTAACCTTAAACCCTTTTCATAGTAAGCCTGATTTATATGATTAAGCCAATTGAGCTAAACTATGGAGTCTGATTAGCTTCAGCTTATGAAACAAGAAACTCGACCTCTGCAAAGAAAACGACAAAAAGGATCATAAAGTCTCTGGGAAGAAATTCCGTGCAATTCCTAAAGGGAAGTTGTGATATGTGGTGATGAGGATGTTTCTGAATGAAAATGAACATCGACTAATGCTGGTAAATGTTGTATCAAGTTATCTGATGCTGTTAAACATTGGTAAAAGTTGGTTAATGTTTGTAAATGCTAGCCAATATCGTTCAAATTGGAGGAATGTTGACTAATATAGTCAAATATGAGTTCAAAATGGCTAATGCTGATGTAAATGTGGTCCACTGTCAGCTAATGCTGGCATTAGTTTCTTACGCACAGATGAATGTTGGTACGTGTTGGTAAATGTTGGCTAAAATTGGTTAATATTTGTTACATACGGAAGCAAGCTTTTTTTTCCCCCTCTGTATTTACACTCGTTAAAATTCAATTTTTGAAACACACAAATGAGGGCTTTTCTCTTGCCTGGAGATTCAAATATAAACACTGATGAGACGCTGAATCACTTCAAATGAGCCCATCTGATTGCGCTATCCGTAGTATTTGAAGTTTATGCTGCTGCAATGATATCTTTCCCCACAGATTTGCCTGCTGCTCTCTGGTGAGGCCGGGTCAAATAACTCAACACCCATTGCAGTTCATGCAGTAGCCATAGCAACATGTGACCAAAAGTAAAAAACAGGAAAAGGGCCACAGTTGACTCTGGCAGACTAATGAGATCAGAATGGAACCCATCTATGTTCAAAACAGGAACATTTCAGCCGTTTGCAAAGAAACAGAACTGAAATGTGACCAAAACCTTTATTGTTTTGGGTTCTTACTTTGTTTCTTTGAGAGCTTTTTCTTTGCGTCATGTGACTCAGACTTCTTTCGGCATAAGAAAGTCCTGTCCTGGTCCCTTACATTTATTTAGTTTTTGATATTTTGAGACATCACGGGGTATGTTCTGTGACACGTCTCTGTTTAAAGTTCCCATGAAATCAAGTGTAATTCAGCTTCATGTGTTTAGATTTCCTTTAAAAGCATTAAATTCCTCACTCCCTTTCTCCTCACGAATAGATTTAAAACTGGTCCCAAAAAAACAAAAACAAAAAAAAAAACTAAAAATAACTTTTCCAAAACACACACAGGTATGTTATGTGATGCTCATTAAGAGCTTAACTGTTTAAAGAGTTTTAGGTTTAACAAAGACTCTATTCTGGCTCTGTTATGTGGTAAGTATACGGATGCCAAAGTGCCAGAAAACCCTCTGCATATACAATTTTGTTCATATGCTAAAGTTTAGCTCTAGTGAATGAGAAATGTGTGTGTGGGTGTGAATTCTGATTACAGAAATAGCTGTTGATTAGCTGTGTGATTTGTTGTTGAACTGACAGAAGATGGCTCAATCGGGTAGGTCGGAGCAACCATGTGAGAAGCAGGGCTGATGCAACCTGTTTCTGGGAGTGAAATCTTGATGTTAGAAAGCCATGATGCAACCTCACCTCAGCCTAGCTGAGTAGGAGCAGGATTTTCTTGTATATGAAAGGAGCTTTCAAAAGGCGCCCGTTCCTCACCATGGTCATGCCCAGCACCAGCGGGGTGATGAAGTAGATGGGCGGCTGGCCCTGACCCTGCCGGAGCTCGTGGAACGTATAGAAGAGGTCGATCCAACACACAATCCAGAGGAACAGGCCGAGCACCTGAGAGGAAGAAAGGGGGTTGGCAAAGAAGACAGGCGTTAAACACTATCCAAACAAAGGGGAGAGAACTGTATGCGCGTCAGAGGAAGAAAAAATGTACTCAGAGTAGTTAAAACACTGAGTATAAAAGCGAATATCTAATGTCTCTGTTAGACTCTGCGAAAATTTCCAGAACTTTTAAGTATGGATTTGTGATAGGTCTCATTTAAACCCTCCAATCTTATTTCCCGTTTAAATTGGAAACATAACAATTGGCTGAGCGAATTGTAAGTGTAAAAAAATGTAAAAATCTAGCCGTAAAGCATATACCATCAAATATTGGGCATATTTGACACCCCTTGAAGTAAATGAAAAGATCAATGTTAGGGTGGAGTTTGTAAATCTAAAACTAGGGCTGGATCAACTAGAAAAATGAGCCTCATCCTTTAGGAGCATCCTTCAAATTTAGATCAGTTAGGTTCTTTTTTGTTGTTTTTTTTACCTTTTATGTTTCCTGGAAACATAAAAGGTATTTCTGTGTAATGTATTTTTCTCTACATAGGCAACCATTCAACACACGTTTGTATTTTGCATTACATTTGCAAGTCATGTAAAAAATAATTCAAAACAAATTAATGGAGCGTCTTTTTCTTATCGATATTGATCTGCCTACTCATGAATGAATTCCAGGTAAACGCATTCCAAACAGTCACCATTCATCCAAACAAACTATTTTTATTCAGAGCTGCTACCTTCAAAGTTGAGACAAAATCAATTATTCATTACATTAAGTGATGTTGGGAACATTATAAAAGGTTTGAGTTCATAGATTCGAACATAAAACGTCTCCCTGACGATGGAGCAGGATCATTATCTTAACTGAATGTGTTAAAGTCAACCCATCTATCCTGTGTGTGAACTGGTGAGTTATACGTGGAGGACTGAGAGCATCAGGAGGTCCTTTGTTCCCACCGCCATAAGGCTTTTAAACAGTGACAGCCCAAATGTTCTTCTCTCATTCATTTTATTTTTATATTTTTTCATTTGAATTAAACTGATTGTTTGTTCCAATATACAATGATTGAAAATTTGAAAAATTCTGAGCTAAAAGACTATTTGAATTTTCCCTATGGGGGATGAATAAAGCATTTTCCATTCTATTCTATGATATTCAGTCAATTGTTGGCAGAAATTGAACACCTTCCAGATTTGTGTGTAAGAATATCTGTAGAAGTCCTCACAGTACTAGACCCCCACTCTGGAACCACCTTAACCAACCTGAAGATGTCTGACCAGTTTTCTAAATCTTTTCAACTCATAAACTGATCTCTATAGTTTCCAGAAAAGACTTTGCAGTCCTGCATCAGCCATTTCCTGCCTGGTGGCATCAGATAACCACTCCATAGAATAAAAAAAGCATTGGAATTAAACCTATTTAAGTTTCACTATAGAAGTGCATAATATCAGAAAATTACATAAAAAGACTAAACCAACCATTTACAGTGATAGATTTTATAAGGTATAAAGTATTTTTAAGCTTTTTTAAACAAGCTATTTGTTTAGAAGACTGCTGAGAACCAGCAAACAAGATAAGTACCTCAATTTATGACTCAAACATTAAATAATGACTCATTTAACCTGCGGATGTTGGACCACCTGTGAGTGTGTAAGTGAGTGCTTCATGGGAAGTTGAAATAAAAAGACAAATAAGAGAATAACTGAAGGTCCCCCCTACCGTTTTGAACCTATTGAGGATGGACATCATGATGTATCCTTTGTTGTTCTGCTTGAGATAAAAAATGTAGATGGGGCTGACCACCCACAGGTAGATGCACGGCAACCATGACAGCACGGAGAGCTGGAAACACTGCGGCAGGTCTGGCTGGTCTGTGTGGAGCGTCTCGTTGGCTACCTGAAGGGGCACAGCAGCAGAACGGCACTTTAGTTTGCACGCTGAAAAAATAATACACTCAACATATACCAATAGAACAACACACAACACTTAAAAGGTATCGTTTTATCAAAGGAGGCCTGGAACAAAAAAAACTTACCAGCACCATAGAGCATTATTAATGATAAATATATATGCATCATTTTAATACGGAGGCAGGGTCCAAAAGATTGGATAGCTTATAAACCCCCTTTGGCTGTGTCATCTCAAGTAAATCACTTTCGGAAGGATGCAATCAAAGCCTAACATTGTTGTGGAGGATTTCGGGTCGGCTCCTCTCGCTGTGGTTCAGGGAGCTTTGAGTTTGTGCTGCTGTGTTAACACACATCAGAACGGCAAACTGATGATCGGTTCATGACATGGAGTTGATTAATGGCACATAGAGACACAGTTTAATCTCATATGATGTTCATCAACATGACATAATATTGACATCTTTTTCCAAATCTGATATTTTTGTTTTTCGTTCCAATCAACCAGAGAATTGAAAGAGGTGGCATTTTTTTTTCTCCAGAAATCTGTGAACTTAAGTCCCTCTGTGATTAGCATAGCGGACCAAACCAAATCTAAGCACATGCTACACTGTGTTCCAGATGTGGAGAGCTCTCTGCTTCTGCTAGCATCTGAGCATTTGACTTTTTATTTCTCTTCTTCAAATCCCAGATTTACAGTAAAGAAACAGGTCTGGTCTGAACACCCAACAGGGTCAAGACTCGCTGCTAGCAAAGTTAGACAAGAAGCTTGCAAAGCCATGCTCTTTTGAACCAAAAGCCTCGGAACAATAACCGAGCGGGCCAGAGAGCATCCACGGGAGAAGGGGAAAGCAAACAGGAATCAGGCTGGGGTTGGATGGGACCCTGGTGGGGCTCCCATGGATAAACACATGTTAAGGCCCACCCACAGGTACGGCAAAGATAAACACAGCTGCCGGCCTCCTCCACTCTCTCTGACCACACCCATCTGCTGGAGCATGTGTTTATGCCGCAGCAGCATGGAGAACGAGCGTGTTCCACAGGCTGAACGTGGGAAATCTGCATCCACTTCAGTGTCTCCAAACAAGTCCGATCCTTTTGACTTGCTTATTTGTGGATATCCAAACCCACTCTGTGTTTCCAGTCCCCACTGCAAAAGTGGATGCACTCTACTTCTAATAATCACTCATCAGATAAGGGAATAAATAACTCAGTTAGACCAAAATACGTAGCCAGATTTTTGCCATTTTAGCCAGCCCAAAATCCTGATGAAGGTCTGGGGCTGACAGTCACAGAGCAAATCCTGATCATGTGAATCAAGGAAAGCAGAAGAAAGAAAAAGAGCAGCAAAAGAAAAAGAAAACATCTCAGCCAGCAAACGAAAATTCTGGCTGGCACTTTATGTTTTACGAGGGAATAAAAGATGTTTTGTCTTATTATTGACTTGTAGGGCTCCATCTGCTTTACCCTGACCCTCCCGAATGTGAGCACCTGCTCACGTGGGGCGTTCAAACCCAAACTGTGTCCACAAAAAAAGGCTCATTTTGACAGGTCTCCAGCACCGACGACTTTACATTGACTCTGATCAGGGAAACAAATGTTGATCAGGCAGGTTCATCCCCTTAGACTGAAAGACAAATAAAAATTTTTAATCAAAATAACGTATTTATACGTTTTTCTACATAAAAACACGTAAATATGCAGTAAAAATGTTACAGAAACTGTTGCCACATCTAAATAGGTAGATGTCACCTATCACCTAAAAGTTAATGACAAATCACCCTGGGCCAGAAAAGCTGTTATTAAGTGTCATTGGTTCCACATGACTTAACTGTTGTCTGAAAAAGAAATGAAGACAAAATCTAGCTGGTATTAGAACATTAACCTGTGCTTTCAATTTACAAATCTTTGTGTAATTTCAATGGGACCCATTGCAAAAAATAAATGCTTCCAAGCATTTTTTGGGTTATCTGAAGGTGCTTCGTTAGTTTTTTCCCCCACTGATAATGAAAAGAAGTTCCGCTAATTAGCTGAACACAGCTAACACATTAGCACATGTATTCCCTCTTTTTTGCCACTTTTTTCAAATCAGAGCATTTATGGGACTTGGTACATTAGGTTTAAGCTCCAAAAATAGCGATTTAATTCTGGTTAATAGTTTTTTAAGTGTGACAGGCATCCCCAGTATCCCTTTTAGAGTACATTTGGGGCTTTTAAATAACCTCAGCCATGTTTATTTATCTGAGCTTTTACATATACAGTACATGTCCCAGTTAGAACCGCAAGGTTGTCAAACCAAATTATTTGGGGTATCCTCAGATCAAGGCTCAAAACTAAGGGTAACAGCCTTCCAGACAATATCACTGTCCAGACAAAGTCCAGACATTTTTGCTATGGCTTTTCTATAGTGTTCAGCCCAGATATCTTGGCCATGTATTTTTTATTTCTTTACTGTGGTTGGTTTGGTTATGCTTTTGAAAATCACTGGCTGAGCCTGTAAACACTTTAGCCAACCAAAGTTTTTTTTTGCTCTAAAAATCAAGTTCAACCTCTTTATGACTTCAGACATTAAAATGGTCTTCATCTACTCATCTAGATTTCACACAGTGAAGTGACAGGTTTATTGTTTGCATCCCTTGCAAAGCATTTTTCCAAATTAAATTCCAATCCATCAGACCTAAGATGCTGCAGGCAGACAGGATGTCCTCGGGCTCGGTGCCATTAGAAAATAGACTTTTTCCTGTGTTGTGCTACATTCCATCAGGTCTTCTTCCCGCTGGTGGAACCCAGCAGCTTGTGTGTGTGAGCCGTATTCCTGTCTCAGCCGGCACGGAGCGCGGCCAGGCGGGATGAATGGTGGCACACCCAGAACCAGGCGGAGGCTACACGCCATGACCAAAGACTGGCCGCGCCGGATAGAGAGCTTCCCCTTTACTCAAACACACACCCACGGCGTGTTATCATGTTCACAAAGGAAACGAACGTACAGAAACCGTAGGGAACGTCCACGTGAGCAAACAGGACAACGTGGGCGGGGGGGGGGGGGAGAAACCTGCCAATGAATAGGAGGGATTTCACGCACAAAAGGGAAAAAAGTGCAGCTCCTTTGCTCTGGAGGAATGTTGATCGAGCATGAACACACTCCCATTTGGACGTATCCGATATGGGAGCCGGCTCCCACTGCTTATCACAGCTGTGTGCGAGCACACACACCGCCGGCACACCACGTATTGTATAAGCGTTCACAGTGTGTAACAGGCGGTTGTGTGAACTCTCACAAACTGAACGTCCAGAGGCGGCTGGGACTAAAAGGACAAAAAGCAGGGTGAGGTAAAGTTTGGAGAGTTTTGATAAACCGGCAACAGAGATCTGAGAATGTAATAAACGTCGCAAACACAAAAGCTACTCTGATTAAACGCAAACTGTACAGATAGGACTCTGAAATCTGAGACTTTGAGCCCCCCCCGAAAGAAAAGGTATGATGAAAAGTCTTTTTAACCCACCTTTTCATCATTCCTTTTTTCCAAGATAAGAGGCAGACGTAATGTTTAACTGATGCTCAGGTATTTTGCTCCTTTGTAAGGCAGTGGGATTGTTCCATGGCATGTAATTACCGTGGTTTACTCCACCGGCATGCGGGGCCTACTGGTGATATGATGAGCTGTGCCTCAGCTGGTGTGGTGGTTATAGAGTATTCTCTTTCAGTTTTTTATCCAAGCGTTTCTCTTTGAGCCCCATTAGGAGAGATGGCGCTGTTAACTGGGATGGCTCTGTCAGTTTGTCAGAAAAAGACTGGGCTGTGCTTCTGTTGGCACATGGACAGACACTAAAAATAAGCACAGCAATCTTAAGACGAGCAGGATGAGGTTGAACAGAAACGTTGACGTCATTCTTTCTAGGAACCGAGAGTTTCCTGACGACAAAAATCCCCCCCAAAAAATGCTTTCTCAGTTCACTCATTAGGATTTTGCGGTTTTGACGGAAGGTTGGAGGAAACAAAGAAAATGACAAAAAACATACTTTTAATTCATGGCTGTTGAAAAGAATGATACCCCAACCGCAAACTAGGAAAGTGGATCATAAAACTTGAAAAAGGTGCAGTAAAACTCATAGAGATGCAAACTATCACTCACACACACAGAACAAAATGTTCTGTAAAGACGTTGAACATGATGTAACTGAAGCTCATCCAGGCTGTTCGTGTTAGTGTGACAGCATCAGGATGGGGTTGTCTGCCCTCTTTGTTCTGTTCCTCAATCCAGAAATGAATGGAGGCAAAAAAAGACTGAATGTTTTATGGAGGTCAATCAGCGAAGGAACTAAACTGAGCTCTGAAATGCTCCCAGTGGGGCATGAAAGGCACTGTTGGCTGCTCTTTGGGTCACTTGGACGCACTGGATTTTGCAGAAAAGCGGGTTTTTAAAGAAGCTTTTTTGTATCAGTGCTTTCAATACACTGGGTTTCTCTTTTAATTAGTGAACTCTTGGTGTTCATACCGATACATTAGCATAAAGACTTATGTATAAAAAAATTAGCTTGTCTTGCCTGGTCACGCTAATATTTTGCTTGGCAGTATCCATGGAATTCATTCAGTCAAACTCATTTGATATTTTCTCTCTGAAATCTGTAGAAGCTTCATCTTCTAAACAGACAAACATAAAACGTGTGGTTTTGGGAGCATTCTGTTGCCCTCGATCCACAGGTGCAGGATTGTGTTTTGTGAATCAGTATTTTGAGGCTGCAGGATGCTAATTGATTTTTTTGGGGTTTATCTTTTTAATTGCAGCTTGTTCAATTAGAACTGAGCTATTGATGTTAAAAGAGAGCTTTGATCATCATATTTTTGGCTGACCAAAGTAGTTATTGCCATAAAAAGGTAGTAGTTTCAATATAACAATCATAACTCAAAGTCAGTGTTTTTTTGTGGGTGATGAAGGTTATTAATGCCGTTACAGCACTGCAATGCCAGTTTACTGGATAGCTAAAATA